TCTAACCAACCAGAAGCCAATACTTGACACAATGAGCCAAGATAAAATTCTCATTCTTTAGATTGAAACCAAACAAGAAATGATACTAGACCTCTTGAAAGAACCAAACTTCAAGTGTATTAAGTCCTTACACAAATTGGGCAGAGTAACGGCTGTATACGGGTGAATTCTATATTATAAACAAAAGGTGTAATCACAATAACCTGCACACAAAAACAAATAAACAACTCAATGTCTTGAGGTAAACCTCAAGAGCTCCAGACAAAATAATCAGATAAGATCACAAGGTCTCCAATCATAGGCCAAGGTTTCTAATCCTAAGTCCAAAAAGTCCAACGCTCCATAATGCCAAGGATAGTAACCAAATAGTCCAAGTATCATTAAAGATTTTTAGGATTTGTGTTGATTATTAGGTGTCTTCAAAAGAAAAGAAAAGCTCAAGTGAGCAAAATAAAAATGACAAGAATATAAAGGGGCTCAAGTGAGCAAATATGAAAGATAGCATGAAATGTAAATGCTAAAAGTAAATGGTGCATAAAGTAAAGAGCATAAAATAAAAACACATAATAAAATCTATTATTAGTAATTAGTGGTTAGTTGGATGACCATCTTGAAACTTGCATTTGGAACTCATTAGAGGATTGGTAGAACCAAATCCTCCACACAACAAGTTGCATTTTCTTTTTGTCAAGTATATCATCCATTTGGAATCCTCATAAGTACCATTTAATGATCAACAATGTTTAAGTGATCCGCGTTGACCAAAGGTGTTGTAGATCCATTAGAGGATTGGTAGAACCAAAGTCTCCACACAATGAATCTCAAGGTTATTGGATCAAAGAGATAAAATTAACATACTTGGGTTTGCAAACATAAGTTTGGGCCACGAATGATCATTTATTCAAATCGAGACAAAATTTAGCGCTATGTTAAGAAATTGTAAGTGGACTTATATATAAGTCACACCTATTTTGAGGCCAGTCAATAGCAATCTATGCACCATTTATTTTGAGACATGATATAAAGATCATGCTCCAACAACATTTAGTACAATAAGAAGGGGATGAGATGAAGAGGGGTGAGAGAGAATATACAAACCACTTTTGAATTAAATTTAATCAAACTATTATTAAAATCATTCATCCATTTTTGTAGAGTTAGACTCAACACCATGGATCTAATGATGTTAATAAAGTTCATGATCAAAAATTTAACCCAAGATCAGCCAGAAAATAGTCACAAAATAATATTACATTTTAATATATACAAAAAGGTTTAAAAAATAATGTTTAAAAATAGAAATAAAAGAGAAAAATATCAACTATGTTCAAATTAATCAAGAAATAAAAAGTAAGACTATAGAAAAATCAGAAAAGGGTTCAAATGATTTTATAAATTTTTTGGTAAATTTTTTAAAGTCAGAAAATATTTTTAAAATTAAAAGAAAAGGGTAAAACAAACCAAAAATGATAAAAAATAACAAATTCAAAAACAAAAATAAAATAAGGTCACCAATATTTGTCACAATATCATTGGGTCATTCTATAATTTTTTCAGAATTTATAGATGCATAAAAGTATTTTTAAACATTTAAAACAATTCAAATAAAGTGTAATTTTATGAAAAAAATACCAAAACACAAAATTAAATTGTGAAAAAATAAAAATCAGAAAGATAATATTCAAAAATATTTTTCATAATTTTTTCAGATTTTTTGGACTAAAAATGAATTTTCTATGATTTTTTGAAGTTTAAAACAATTAAATATAAAAATCAGAAAAGAAAAGAAAATTCAAAAATATGTGGACCATTGGATGAGAGTCAAAACGCGTTAGTATTCAGGTCCAAGGGATCTGGCGCGCTGTGCATATCATGGTCATTAGTGAATAAAGCACTGAATCAATTATTAAATCAGAATTCAAAAATAACAAGTGGCACGCCATCATTGGTTGGAAGATGACACGTTGGTCATCTTTAACCTCCAGCCAACATGAATTGCAGGTCTCTCAAACTGTAAAATCAGAAGCTCAGACCTATGCCATTCGCTTCGTCTCTTCAAGACGAAGACAACCACACCCTCGCGCCAAATATATATAAAATGTAGCTCAAGCAAATTAGAAAGAAAGTTTTGAAAAGGGGTTTGAAATTTCATGGTCAAAATGTGTTTCCAGTAAGAAGTAAGTGTTGCGACTAGAACCAGGGCAATGAGAGCATCACAATGATATCAAAGTTCTGAAGAATTGGTGAAGGAACCTACCTATTGAAGTTGAGTTGAAGAGCTTTGAAACTGGACTTCTATGGAGTAATATAGGGCACGATTCTTGAATGTAATTATATGGTTAGCTTCAGGGAAGATCAAGGAAGGTGAATTGATGAAAAAATTGGATTGAAAAAGGCTTGTATATGGGTTTCGAAGTTGTTGAATTCTGAGTTATGGAACAAGTTTGGCAGGGTGATTATGGCTATCCAAGCTTAAGAAAATGAATGGGATAGTTCATGTATTTATAGGAGAAGCAAATGGGATCAAAAGGAAGAGTGAATGATGCATTTTGGAGGGAATTCGTGCAAACCTGATGCACGAGTGAAGTGTGATCTTATTTTCACCAAAACTCATCAAATCCTTGCATTTTGAGGTGCTAAACACTTCTGGCAAGTTTGTTAATCAAGTTTAAATAAAAAACGCGTATAAATCTTGTGATTAGAGGCCACATTATGGATTTCAAAATTCTGACTTGGTGAAAAATTCAGTTTCAAAGTGCCAACTTCTGACCAATGGCATTCTCAGCTCAAAGGGTCTTAGGGAATGGTTCTTGATGCTTCAAAAAGATGAGGTTACAAGCTTTGCAATGGAAAAAGAATGGAATCAAATGGATGCTTGAGCTGAAAGTTGTGTTGAGTCAAAGTTGGAAAAAATGTTGACTTTCCATACTTAGAAATATTTCAAATTTTTCTTCAAAAGTGACCTATAATGTCTTGCATCCAAACATAGCCTTCCACTTGGAATTTGCTCTTGACCAAAAAAGATGGAATGAAGTAGATCTCTTGAATGACATTTTGGGACTTGAACCATTCAAAACCTCCAAAAATTGAGAGAGTTATGAATTGATGAAGTTGGCAAAAAATCATGAAATGACCTATAATCTTTTGTATCCTTAAGGCAATTTCCATCCATTTTCTCACTTTTCACATAAAAGAAGGCATAAAGTTCACATCTTCAAGATAATTATGGAAAAGTAATGGGCTCAATGTGATAAAAATTGATCAAGTTATGATCATTTGAAGTCACACATGAAAATTTGGGGATTCATCTGGAGGACTTGTAATCTTTCTTCTTCATCAAGTTTCTTCCACATGAAAACTCCTTGGAACCTTTGAAGTTATTTGTTTATAACCCTTTGAAGAGAAGGATTTCTTTGGAATCACTCCAAAATACCAAAATATGAGCAAGATATACTTCTTTGAAGTTCAAAACCCTAGTTCCTAGATCAAGAAAATGCTTGGAGGAACTTTGACAGTTTTGAACAAACTTCTTGTACCAATACAAATTCTTTATAAATATAAGTTGTTGAGGATGATAATGAGAACTCATAGCAACCAAAACCACTTCCATATCTTGAGAATTTAGAGAAATATGCACTTGTGACCAATGAGACAAGGCCTTGTCCAACCATGACAACTTCTTCAATCAACCCCTTGCACTTTTGAATCAATCTTGATAACTTGGAAATGTAGTGAACCAAAATAATCTTGCCATGCCATCCCTTCCAAAACAACTTCAATGATGAGGTTTGAACTTATCAAGCTTCATTGACTAGGTCATGGAAATAAACTCATGAGCCCATGGATCAACTTGCTAAGCCCTATTGCCTTTACCTACATTGTTGACAAGTAAGACAGACCAATATTGCATTTTATTTATTAAATGGAAAGTCAAAACAAAACATGAATGATTATATAAGAAAAACAAGTCAAGGTGCTTAGTGATTCCTCAAAGAGAAAAGCTAAAGATAGGGAGGAGAACCAAAAGCCCTAATGTGATCTTGTTGTGATTGAATCAATATGGTATGGTGAAGGGATCTTAGGGGAAAAATTGGGGTACAACAGTGAGGATCACTATCCTATAGGGAACACACAATGATCAAAGTCATTATCTCAATTCTAATTGAGTGACATCATCGATCATTAACAAAGGACAATAATAAAATCCCTAAGGGAGCATGCAAAGATCGAAGTCGTTATCTCAATTTTAATTGAGTGACATCATCGATCATCGACAAAGGAAAACAATAAAATCATAAGGAGAGCATGCAAAGATCGAAGTCGTTATCTCAATTCTAATTGAGTGACATCATCGATTGACAAAAGATGGAAACACACAAGCACAATCACGGGGAGTGAATAAATGCAGAATGCTTGCTACATAACTTTTAAATAATGACTTCGAGTGCACGCTCTTTATTTCCTACTTCTCATGATATCTAGAAAAGCGGTAAAGCATGCATCTCTATTCCTACTTCTCATGGCATCAGAAAGCGGTAGGCAATGCAGAGATGAGGAATAAAATAAAGTCACGGTGATACCTAACGGAGAAGTTTTGTTGCCTCTTCAAAGCCCCGTAAGCGATAAGAAAACTCTACAGAAGCTGCTTCACACAAGTGATCAAACAAGTTAATCTTCAAGCGCTCCACATTGCAAAAGTTGCATCAGTACTATCGCAAACTCTTAGCAAAACATGGCAACAAAATGATTACCCAACATAAAAACAAAAATAGAAAACTCTAATTGAAATACTAAAGAGAAATCTTAAAATATTCTAATATTTTTGTATAATTTTTATCGCTAATTTTAACACTATTTCAATAGCAAAAAATGATGCAAGAAAATTAAAGAGGAAGTCTTAACAAAGGGGGGTCAAATCGTGATTCAGGGAGTATGGCCTACAATGAGGCGCTAGGCCCAACACACTTGAGCCCAAGGATGAGTATTTTTGTTCACAAACAATGTTGTACCAAAAGGGTGAAGATAGACCTATAATGGGATTTGCACAGTGGAGCCCAACGAAATCACCACCATTAGATTCCTCTTCCATTTGCTATTTGTCAAACAAACAAACAAAAAATGGAGAAAGAAAAAAAGAGAGCAAAACGCAGCGTATAGAGAGGGATTTAGGGCTTAACAGGTTGTGCCCTTTCAACTCATCGTTAAAACATGAACTCTCTCCTTCCTTGTACGGCGGTCGCGGATCAGAACATTCAAACATCTCCTCTCTTGATCACTGCCGTGACTTCTACACAGCGCCGCCGTTCAATCCTCAGTCGCAGCTCTCAGCCTTCTTTGCGTACGACATGTATTTCATCTCTTCTTTCTCTTTACCCTCACTTCTACTTCTAACCAACTTTTCCGATTCGTAATCTTGCGAAGACGATGGTGATATCATTGTTTTTTTAGTGACGATGTGCTGAAGTTGTATAACGATTCGATAATGATGATGAAGTTGATTCGTTCTTGTTTGCGGATGCCGGTTGCGGATCGACTGCGTAAGACGATGGAAGAAGTTGTTGTAGTTGTTGCTGATGAAGAGGTGTTGAAGATGATGAGAGAGTTACGAGAAGCTTGCAAACAATTTCAAGAATTTGTGATGGATGAATCGTGAATGATGAGGCTTGAAGATGGTGAAGGTTCAGAGAGAGTAAGGTTGTTGACAGAGATAGAAGCTTCGGTCGCAGAAGGATCTTTTCAGATGTTTTTTAGAGAAGGTGAAGATGAGGCTTGAAGGTTGACGAAGGCGATGAGGGAGATTAGGAATGAAGATTGGTTGAAGATTGTGCAGAGAGAGAGAAGAGAATTTCGAATATTTTTGTGGTGTGCTTCTCCTGAACGTGAAGAATCAATTGCAAGGTGAGTTTTTTTTTGGTTTTATATTTTGTTCGTGTTTAGCAAAGTTTGTTAGAGGTTGAGGAGTTAGTTAGTTAGGAAGTAAAATTGGAGGGAGTTTTGTTGGAAATTTCTGTTAGAGTTGTGTTGTTGAATTTCTGTTATAACTATTAGAGCTGTTAGTAATAGTTGGGAAATTGAAGTTAGTTATAGGTTTGTGAAAACAATTGGTGGATAGAAAACTGTTAGGTCTGTTAGAAATCGTTAGTTGGTTAGAAATTTGTTTGAACTGTTTTGCCAAGGGAAGTGAACTATTTTTTGAACTGATATACTTCCTCTTATTTCTGAACAATGATGTTTGGCATCATATTAGCAAGTCTGAACTTTGGTTATGTGAAGCAGCTTTGGTTTAAAATATGTTGAAGGGTTAATTGGTTAAGAACTGGTAGAAAAAATTAGGAACTCTGTTTTGTATGCAGGTCTTTCTCTCATGTTTTATGTTTCTTTTATGAGTAGCTTTGTACAGGTTGGTAATGCTGGCGTATATTGCAGCGGGGCTGCAAGTTTGTAGGGGATTCGGATGCATCATCGGTTTTATATGCAGGTATGTGATGATGAGCCTATGGGGGCAGTGAGTTTGGTTTAGGCAGCCGGCAACGTGTTGGAAGCTGGCATGGTGCAAGTCGTGGTCGTTTTATGGGCAGCCTTGTGGAGAATTTGAGCGCAAGGGCATGAAGTGAAAGTCGGTCATCATGTGAAGGATTTGTTTATTGGATATTATTCTGAACTTAACGGATATTTGCAGGGCTACAATTATTGATTTAGACTACTATTTTGGATAGGTTGGTGCTTACAGATTTCTCTCAGTGAATGGTGCAGGTCGGGCTCATGGCTCATGTTGAACAAAAACATGGTTGAATTAAATTGGATTATGGAATTTGGGAAAGACTCATGGTACTTGGTTGAAGAAATATGAAGTCATACATGAAGCTTAGTCTAGAGAAATGGCACACAATTTTGGAGCTTGGGAGTTTATGGCATGATCATGAAGTTTGCAAAGAATTTTGGAGAAGACATGAAGAGAATTGGTGAAGAATGTTGCATGAAGAATGGTGGCCACTAGGTTTAGGATAAGGCATAGGTTTTGTGTATGATTTCTTGATATAATTGAACCTTGAGGTAATATAACTTTTTAAATCAATTTGTAACGTGTCTTGGTTTTTGTAAAACTTTGTGATGATGATGATGTAATAGAATAGGTGATGTACTTGGCGTACTTGAAATGATATGGATGTAATGGTGATTTCGAAGTGGTGTATATTTAATGTCATCTGAACTATGTGTTTTGAATGGATTTGAATGTACACTAGTGATTCTTGATGAAACTTTGATGAAGCTTGAAATAAATTGGAATGGATCTCTTGGAGGTGATATGTAATAGTCCTTCTTTTTCAAATAAAGTTTGAAACTCATTTTCCCTCCATATGCTTTATTTGAATATTCTAACCTTTTTTCAATTTTGTAATTTGGATGAATCATAATATGAAACACGAAATCCATGCTTAAGATAGACTTTGGTAAAAAATCTTGCTAAATGTATTCCAAACTTGAATAATCCAATGATATACTATGCTCCACACCCAATTCTTATACGAAATCCAGTAAGATGCCTTGTTCCATAAACGAGCACACGAATCCTTAATCCTTGGAGATCAATAACACATATTTGAATGATTCAGATTGCACTGTGTGTAACGAAAGGATAACCAACAAATTCGCAAGAATTATCTGAATAGCCAAAATGTCGAGAATAGGAAAATTCTGATGATTACAACTTCACACAAAAACTCTCTTGAATGGTGCATGACTTAGATCATGCCTCTAAGACGACTTTACTGAATAACTTGCATTGTAAGCAACAAAATCCATCTCATGTGCTAAAGAAAGCAGTAAAAGTATTGAGAAATAAGATCTCTTTATGTAACTAAATTCCTACAGATTCACTCAATGACATTGAGTATAAAGGGAAAAATCCTCATTCCATTTCTCCATGCTCAACCATGTCAAATCCTAATCACCATATACCTTGATCCAATGCAAAACTTTTTGATTAATGATGTAATACGTGCAAAATGACCTAATGGAAGGACAATGCATACAAAGAGAACGAAATGCATAAGCCAGATGATCCTTGTTAAAGGATAGGACAAATTTAGGGTATGACACAAGGTCCTTGTTCCTTGGCACCATTTAACTTGATTAGTGGTTGGTTGCGACTTTCAGAGTCTATCAGGTATAGTGACTGCAAGTGCACAGTCTAATCGCGTTGTTTTAAAAGATATTGAACCCACAAGGACTGATAATCAAACTACTGCTATCTAAAGTCACCGTGTAAAGCTAAGGATAATGATTAATCTTGGGTTTTGGGTGAGACGAAAATAAACTTAGATTTAAATGAAATATTCGATAACAGGACACCAATATGTAATATGTCAGACTTCGGGGATTCAGTTAGTCATTTTAAAAAATTATTTCAGTAGAACCTATCAATTTAAAAACCTTTATCTCACACTCTCGTGATTATTGATTCAGACTATATTATTAAACTTAAATGCTTTCTCTCGTTGTCTCATTTAAAATCTAAAAACACTTTTTGAAAACAAATAGAATCTAATTAATTCTAAAGCGTTCTCGCTGTATTTAAAACTAATATTCGATTACCACTATCCGATTAAAATCTCAAACTCTCGTTATATCGACTTTAACCTTCGTTTGTCTTTTACTCTCGTAACAAAACAACCAATAACACAAAATTACAGTAAATAAACAATAACATAATAATGATTCTTAAGTATAAAATAGTATATATAAATGAAATAAGATATGCCAGTAACATATATAAAGGAAACTGAATTAATGCTAAACTTCTAGTGTCAAGTGCAATCCTCCACAACATGCCAGCAGGATTTGCTTTGCGAAAAATAATAACTTGAATGCAGAAAAAAATATAAACTAAAACAAAGTCTGAAGGATGTGAATAAAATATACTCGTGCAATAGCTCTCCGATGTGGAAAACTATTGCTAATTCAGGTGGAGAAATATCTGCTTAAAATTTTTAAAATAAAAATTCTGAACTATGAGAAAATTGAACAAAAGTGTCGTGTCCCTTTTTTTGCTGCCTGGTTGCTTCCTTTTTATAGCCTCCTTGTAACTTCCGTTGGAGAAGATTTAGGAGTCGTGTGGCAATTGGAAGACTCAACTTCTCCAAATAATCATGGATGTGATCATTATGGAGTGGAGCATAATACAGACTCAGTCATTGCGATTGAGAGAATATAGGAGCTTCGTTGCAGACATGGAGAGAACCACACAATGAAATTACAGATTGTGGCGAGGGGTATGCCTTGTGTGTTGTGGGTCACACAAGTCAAAGTTGTGGCAACCGTAACACGTGTGTGCCGAAGGGTACCCATAATTCCAAGGCGTGGCGATCGACTGAAGGTTGTGACGACCGTCATAGTCCTCTGTCATGTAATTTCCTTCTGTTTTATGCTACAAAGACATTTTTAACTCATTTCTTTGTCATTTCTTCCTATTTTCTCATGCAAGTCTTGTGGAATATAAATACCTGAAACACACTTAAAATACCAACATAATGCAACATAATTTACAGAAAATGGTAACATCATTTATGATAGTCGAGCTGAATATGTGATGTGTTTTCGTGTTATCAGTGGTGGAAGGGTGGATTTGACGTTGACGTCGAACTCACTTTTATCCTCTGCTTTTCAGGTAAGATGACTACTAGCACCGGCGACGAGTTTCTCAATGAACCTAGTGGTTCTGCCCAGAGTTCCACCAAGGACACCTCCAGCGAGACGGGCACTTCTAGGGCGTACGAGTCCGCTCCAGGCGCGCTGGAGCCAGGGTTGTCTGGGAAACAAGCCATAGAGGGGGACATGTAGATGGCTCATGCTGACCAAGTAGGTCCAAGTGAGCCTGTGGTCAAGGAGGATCCATTGGCTTGGGTCGCATTGGGGCCGCTGAATTGCATTTCTCACTTTATCGAGTATCTTGATGATATCTTTACCCAGAGATGGATCGTGAGGGTGCTGAGGAGTAGTGGGCGATATAAATCCCAAATAAGAAATGTCGGATCTGCTCAGAGTTTAAAGCTCGTTGGTTCCCTATGTATGATATCCCATTCCAGGAGATGGGTTTTTAGCTTCCCTTCTCGGATTCCTAGGTGTCAGTCTTTAGGCATCTTTGTCTTGCTCTGTCCCAGCTGCACCCGAATTTGATCTCCTTCTTGCGGGCTTTCGAGATCGTGTGTGACTATTTGGGCACCAGACCAATATTCCTCTATTTTTCCTCTGTTTTCATCTTCAAAGGCAAGCATCCGATGGCCATTTCATTTGGGTTTCCCTGAAGCAGGCGAACTAAAAATTGTTCAAGGCGTATTTGGAGTCTATCTGTTACTTCAAGGATAAGTACATGCTTATTCACTCCGTCTCGCAGAGGGCATCATTGAACATATTTAGGCTTGCTCTAGCATACCACGTGGACAGGGTTCCTATCCTGAACGAGGAGGGAAGGCACATGAATAAACTGGTGCCCAAGTTCCCCTTTCACTGGACCAGGAAGCACTATAATAATAGGACGGAGGTTTATATCTGGAAGAAGGGTCATCTTGGTGTCGAGGACCACGCCAGTTTTGACTACCTCACTGCCTTCTCCGCGGTGATTCATCCTGTCCAGCATGTGGGAAGAGGTGGAAAACCAGTCGTCGACATGAACGGGAAGGTGGTGTACAACCTTGGTTTGATAGTTGTCAAGGAGCTCCTCAAGAGCGAGGACCCTGCGGCATATCTTGGTAGTCGCTTTTACGATTTAATTTTCTTTGTATGCCTGACATAGTCTTTTTTCTGTATGTTGATCATTATTTGTTATTTCTTCGCAGATAAGATGAATCCCGCTCAAGAACGCCTGGAAAAGATGGCTGCTTCCAACCTAAAGAAGGCCCAGGAAGGTGTCAAGTCATCTCCATATGATGCGGGGATGATTCTTATGTCGGGCTCGGGCGCTTCGTTGACAGGGCTAGCGGTCGGGGCTCTCTCCCCCTTGCAAGTGTCTTCGAGTCTAAAAAGGCAGCACAACGAGGGCACTATCAATCTAACCGTGGACCGCATTAGCTTAGGATGTTGGGGCTGTTATGAGGGTCTTGGAGATGGTCGTTGCGTACACCGAGGGTGGCTCCTCTCTAGAAGTTGAGATGAGAAAGTTGTGAGCTAAGTTGCCGAGATTGAGAGGGAGCGCGCTGAGAGGGGGTTGCTCGAAATTTGGTCGAGGAGAGCCTGGAGAAATTGACCAAGGAGCATAAGACACTTTTGCTCGAGAAGAAGGATTCTAATGAACAGGTGGTGTCCCTGATGGCCGAAGCTGCTCCTACTGAAGATGAGCCAGAAGAAGCTCAAGGCTTGAAGACTCGTGCATAACTGGTTCCTTGCCTTTAACTGGTGATTGATGATGTCCTGGCCGCTGTCGAGGGGTGTTTTTTGAATGCGGTGAAGCAGCTTAAGGTCTTGAATCCTATGGTCGAGCTTAATACAACAAGTATGGGACTCCATTACTATGTGGGTGAAAGAAAGATTGTTATCCTTGAATTTCTAAGGAATGTCGTGGATGCGCCCATTGGAGAGTCATCGCGTCAAGAGCCTGTCATCGAGGAAGGGCCACAACCCAATGTTTAACTGTTATTACATTTTCTTTCCCAGCCTGCGTGCCTTATTGATGTAATTTGTTTTATGGGCTTTTAGCCCATTTTGATTAATTTTCGAACAGACGTGGTCTTTATGCCCACGTGATTACTTTGTTGGATGGGGGCCTTGGGCTCCCTTTTTATAAAATTTTCACAATCACGGTCTTATTGGTCGTGTCTTAATTTTTCTACCGTGGTGGTCGTTTGATATAGTTCGTGTGTGATTGTGTTACATTTATATTTGAAGTGTTTTGCATGTTTATTGTATGCTCGTCTTCTTGAGACATTATTTATTGGCTGAGTTTTTAATGGGGATTTTCTCGTTAGTTAGTGTGTTCGTAAGTATGGGGAAACTGGTTAAACGACCAGGGTAAATACCGGGCATGGGCCGGAACTCAGGTCTCATTTCGAGGACCCAGGCTCGGCGGCATGAACTTCCCATTGCAAGTTGGGTGTTCTACCGATGTGGTACAATGACGATGGAGCTCGATCGAGTTATCCATGTCGGGTTGAGGGCCCGCTCGTCAAAAGAGTGGAGTCTCGCCCCTTCATTTAAATTGGAGTGCCATGCTTGTACATAAGCATGCACGTATGGTTGGGCCTGAATGAGTTTGTCCTGTCAGTGACGCTCGCCGACTGCTTAGTATTTTAACTATAATATTGTT